CCCCCCTTCCACCAATAGAGAAGACCAGATCGCTGTTCAGAAAATATGGCGATCGACTTTGTTAATTGGGAAAGACCTCTAAATATTTCTTGGGAAAATTTTGATACAGAAAGCATGAAGGTTGAAATTCGGAGAAGTTAAAATTAACATATTGGAGTTTTTTAAAACCTGAAATGTGTAACACTGATATAAGAATTTTCTTTTAAAAATGATTTGATTTCTTTTGAACTTCTCCTACTCCTCTACTCCGTTCTATACCATCCTATACAGTTCTCCTACTCCTCAACTCCGTTCTATACCATCCTATATAGTTCTCATACTCCTCTACTCCGTTCTATACCATCCTATACAGTTCTCCTACTCCTCATACTCCTCTACTCCGTTCCATACCATCCTATATAGTTCTCCTACTCCTCAACTCCGTTCTTACCATCCAATATAGTTCTCCTACTCCTCTACTCCATTCTATACCATCCTATAAAGTTCTCCTACTCCTCTACTCCGTTCCATACCATCCTATACAGTTCTCCTACTCCTCTACTCCGTTCTATACCATCCCATACAGTTCTCATACTCCTCTACTCCGTTCTATACCATCCTATATAGTTCTCCTTCTCCTCTACTCCGTTCTATACCATCCTGTACAGTTCTCCTACTCCTCAACTCCGTTCTAAACCATCCTTTACAATTCTACTACTCCTCTACTCCATTCTATACCATCCTATACAGTTCTCCTACTCCTCTACTCCGTTCTATACCATCCTATACAGTTCTCCCACTCCTCTACTCCGTTCCATACCATCCTATACAGTTCTCCTACTCCTTTACTCAGTTCCATACCATCCTATACAGTTCTCCCACTCCTATACTCCATTATATACCATCCTATATAGTTCTCCTACTCCTCTACTCCGTTCTATACCATCCTATACACTTCTCCTACTCGTCTACCCCGTTCTATAACATCCTCAACAGTTCTCCTACTCCTCTACACTGTTCCATACCATCCTATACAGTTCTCCTACTCCTCAACTCCGTTCTTACCATCCAATATAGTTCTCCTACTCCTCTACTCCGTTCTATACCATCCTATACAGTTCTCCTACTCCTCAACTCCGTTCTAAACCATCCTATACAGTTCTCCTACTCCTCTACTCCGTTCTATAACATCCTCAACAGTTCGCCTACTCCTCTACTCCGTCCTATACCTTCATGTACAGTTCTATACTTTTTTATCTTTATTAGACTGTAGAGAGTAGAGACTGTTCTTTACGTATTTTTCTGTGTTATCAGACATTACTTTGTTTTCTCCCGTGTTACAAGACACTGTTTTCATTCCCCTGCATTACTGGACACTTTTCTGTATTCTTCTGTATTACTATAGACAGTCAGTATTCTCCTGTATTATTAGACACTGTTCTGTATTCCCCTGTATTACAAGACACTATTTTGTTTTTTCCTGTATTACTATAGACACTGTGCTGTATTCCCCTGTATTACAAGACACTGTTCTGTATTTCCCTGTATTACTAGAAACTGTTCTGTTTTATCCTGTATTACTGGACACTGTTCTGTATTCCCCTGTATTAGTGGACACTGTTCTGTATGCTTCTGTATTACTGGACACTGTTCTGTATTCCCCTGTATTACTTGAAACTGTTCTGTATTCTTCTGTATAGCAAGACACTGTTCTGTATTCACCTGTATTACTAGAAACTGTTCTGTAAAAGACACTGTTTTGTATTTTCCTGTATTACTAGAAACTGTTCTGTATTCTTTTGTATTACTAGACACTGTTCTATAGTCTTCTGTATTACTAGACACTGTTCTGTATTCTTCTGTATTACTGGACACTGTTCTATAGTCTTCTGTATTACTAGACACTGTTCTGTATTCTTTATTTTACTGGACACTGTTCTGTATTCTTCTGCACTACTAGACACTATTCTGTATTCTTCTGTACTAATAGACCATTCTCTTTGGTTTCCTGTATTACTAGACACTATTTTTATTCTTATGTTATTCTAAAATCTTATATGCAAATCAATAAAGACTTTGTACTGTGTAGCACAAAAAGCTATGTTTCAAATTATCTTGTATTTGTATTTTGTGTGTCTTTAAAAATAAAGAAATAACTTGAAAATATCTTGTCGACCCCTATTCGAAAAATAAAATTGGTTCTATTCAAAAAGAAATATAATTTCTAAACAATTTTAATAAAAAGAAACTTCACACATTTCGGTGGCCTTATAGCCAATAATGACTCCGTAACTCGGCTAAAAGATGGCAAAGTTAGTTGCGTAAAAAGTGGTGTGAAAAGTGGCGCGAGGGGTGTGAAAAGTGCCGTGTAAAGTGGCGTGCAAGGGGACGCATAAAGTGGAGTGTAAGGTGGCGTGAAAAGTGGCGTGTAAAGTACAAAATCAAAGAAGGGATCGACAAAGCATATATTAAAGAAGAATTTGTCCTAAACAAGTATTAAATACTAAAAAAGGTTAAAATTCTAAATTTGAAAAGTAAAAAGTAAAAAAGATAAGAGTAAATGCTACCTGACATATTACTCATCAAGAATTTTTTTTTAAAAATACATATGAAGGACTTGGATTTTTGCCACATACTCTTATTTTCTAACCCCTTAACCTTTCCAATCCAATGTCGTAGACATTTCATATTTTAAACAATGCATTCTGTTAAATCAAATAACCTGAGTTTGAAATATCAAAGGTTTACACCATCAGGTTGCACTGATATAGGGAATAGAAAATTTGAGTTTGGCAAAGAATCAATTCCTTTTTGTGTAAATCTGTGGAGTCTGGTTTCTCGGTTCCACTCTACATTATTCCATTAACCATCCTAGACCTAATCTTACTTTATCGTCACAAATCAGAAGCAGATCTTACCTCCTTGAGTATACCGACACTAGTACACCTGGCTAGCCACCTGGCTGTGAGTATGGGTGCCTGTCTGTCTGTCTGTCTGTCCGACTCCAACCCCCCTTCTATGAAATATGAAGTCCTCGACTCTTATTATTACATCCTATTAAATGGTGACCCGCCCTCTGCTTATCCCCAGATATTTTAGTCTTGCAAATAAACAAATTTTTTTGGATTTTCTCTTACATTGTATGAAATTTTGGCTCGTTCTTATTAAGCTTTAAAGATATATACTATATGCAGGATCCATGACAAACAAAAGGCATACAAAAAGAATTTAATTCTTCATAAGTATCTATTTGCTTTTTCGAAATATTTTAGATTCTTCTGTCATCATCCTGTTACATACTTAATCAAAAAATCAAAAAAATTAACATAAATGAAAAATTACTGTCCTATCTTATTAAGTAATTGAATACTGTTTTTTTAAAGTTCTTTTTTTCTAAAGAATTTTGAGAATAAGAAAAAACTTGTTAGATCAATCCTGATTTCGTCAACCCTCGCCCCTCCTCTCTCACATGGCTCTACTGATTATGATTGTTCACTAAATTTCATAAAATTTGTCAATTTAGAAAAGAAAACATAAAAAAAACATATTTTTTTGGCGCTTTGTTTATCATTTTTATGAAACTTAAGTTTTTTTCTTCTCTTTTTCAGCTTTAACAAAGTAACACACATGACTAAAAATAACCCCCCCCCCCCCCCCACGTGAAAGGACGCACTTAGAAGACTATGAAGAACTTCTCCTCCCACAAAACCTATACAGCTAGTTACAGAATACTTTAGTTGAATATGGAGTTTCAGTCACTAGATCTAGATTATATCTACTTCTCTCATTCATAAAAAATATTTCTCTGTTTTTCCAGCCCAAATCTAGAATAAAAGTATACTAGAATACAGTATAAAAGTATACTAGAAAACAGTATTAAAGTATACTAGAATACAGTATAAAAGTAAAGTATACTAGAATACAGTATAAAAGTATACTAGAATACAGTATAAAAGTATACTATACAGTATAAAAGCATCCTAGAATACAGTATAAAAGTATGATGTATCCTGTAGTGTACCTGGCGCCTGTATAAGGACTAGAGGCGCCAAGCTTGAAATATATGTATATAAGTAGGAGGCGTTCAGACAAGCAAACAGTACGGACAGTAACTACTTCTTCTATGCCAGGGGGGAAAGAACCCCCCTTCCCTTACATCACAATAATTAGATAAAACATCATTCAATGGTTTGACATAAATATGTGATGAAAATACTGTCAATAGAAATGTCCATGATAATTGTTTTGTATGGTTTATATGCTTTATAATCCGATTTCGCGGACTTTTTTGTCTAAATGTGCGCATTTTCAAAGGTTCAATTTTATAATATATAAAGGTATAGAATTATTAGCTTAAAAAATCTAATCAATGTAACCATTAAATCCTGGCAAGGAAATAATCTTTATTTAAAAAGTCGAGAAAACAAATATTTAAATAAAAGACTTAACTGTTTTCATGTCAAATACATTGACAATGGTTTCCTTAAGAAGACAACTTGTAAAAGGTGGTAATTTCCTAGTATACGATTTTTGGACCCCCCCAAATAGCTGAGGGTATAGGTAACTTGACTTCAATACCAAGTAAAGGATAGGTTTATAGTTTTTATTTTATTTCCCCATAAGGCTTCCAATAAGTCCAAGTTCTTTGAAAAAAATAAGATTATTTTTGTAAAAATTTTAACAACAAAATTACGTCGTACAGAAGATTTGGTGCAGATTTACACAAATGTTTTTGCCTCACAAAATCAAACATTCTAATGTCTATATCTTTGCAACTTGATGGTGTAAACCTTTGACATCTCAAACTTAGATTATTTGATCTAACAGAATAACTAAGGTCTACAACTTTGAGTTGCTTAGATAAGGGATTAGAAAATCAGAGTGTGAGACATAAAAACTCAATTCCTCAAAAATTCCAAAAAGTTTTCT